GCTCAATAAGTGTGTGAGTCGGGTCTGCCTCATAATTCTTGTAGGCTTGGATAACCGTCACCCTATGGTTTAGAACAACCCTACTAGCCGTTGTCTTCCTAGCGGTCTCTACAATTCTAACCATGTCTGTCACATACAAGTCAAGTCCAATTATGCTTAATATCTTATTAATGATAACACTTTGTCTCTTATGCTCGCATAATTCATGATAAAGTAAAATGCTATAATTCTATCGAAGTTGACTGAAAGTGTGCGAGGAAATAATTCATAAATGGAAGCAAATATATTTCTCATCATGCTCATAATTTATGTTGGAATATGGCATTTCATTTCATTTCAAACATATATTGAATTAAATATAAGAATGTATATGCTCAAAGTAGACATTTTACGTACCTTCAGTTCGTCAGATGGTAGTTGATTGGCGAAGGTTAGTTGCCAAGTACCTTGTTAAAATCCTTGTTTCTTAAAAATGTTTATTAAAATTTTCATTTCTTGCTAATGAGATTACAGATACAAAAATGCTAAAACTTTGTACTTTGATTCATATGTATGGATAATGGTAGCATATAAATAATGTCAAAAGCATATATTTTGGGATTTAACGACTACATTTTTTTTTAATCTAGAAGGTTTGGAACATTGTTTTTCGCTTCGTTGATTTGAATAATGCACAATTGAAAAGTTTCCAGATGAGGAGGGGGGTCGCAGTGGACCGCTTAAATCTCAAGCTCTTCTTAGACAGTTTAGGTCTTTTTGACAAAACCTTTCAATTTTGCGACTACGCAAATCAAGAAACCCCAAACAATAAATTGAACGTGAAATCTCTCAAAATGTGAATTTTTAAATTGGATTTTTTTTTTTAAATCACGAAAAGCTTAAAAGCATAACTATTTATCACATCTGAAATTTAAACTATGAGCATGGAACTATAACAATTAAAATTTTTAAACTACCATTGTTTGAAGTTAATTGAAACAAACATTTATCTTCAAGTAAAAAGAAAGAAGGATAAAAAAAAGTATTTACACTTCTTCTTTTTTTTTTTTTGGTTCGACGTACTGTTTTCAAAGCATCACTTAAAAAAAGTTAAACATATAAATGTGTAATAGTGTAAAACATGGGCAATAACCAAAATAACAATTTAACTCTAACTATCATCAATTAAAAATCCATCCAAGTTATTATTTGAATAACAACATTATTATTATAGTAGGGTAGAACGAGATTTCTAATACTAACGCAAACTTTACTCCTTCAGAATAAAATGTGAATGACCTTCTAATTAAAGGTGACATCAATACGGCTAATTCCCTAAATTTTATATTGCAACTAACACACTCATAATCAAATCTTTAATTTGCCAAACAAATATGGTAAATCATAAATAAAATAACAGAAATAATTACATAAACTACTATTTGATAAACGATAAGTTTTCTTCGTACATAAAAATTCTCATAACCACTAAATTCAACATAATAATTTAATTTAGATGAAATTGAAACATTTATATTAGTATAAGCACGATAGAATAAAGATATTCCATAATTTACTTTCAAATTTAATAAAATCACACGCATATTAAAATTCACTTTATTAGGCATGTCAATCTCAATCATATGGGTAGTCCATGGTGCATTCCAC